CATATCATCCTGGAGAGAAGATAAGTCTCATTTTGAACTCCCACCTGAACCTTTTAGTGGTGTCAGAAGGTAGGGATTTTGGCAGCTCAGGTTCATAGTAAGTAGGATTCCTTCCTCGGGTGTGTATTATTTCCCAGCTTTGAAATGTTAATGAATATCAAGACAAGTTTTACCTTTAGAGAACTGTATGATGGGCTGATTAGGAACAGAGCAAAATATTTTTATTTTGAGCCACTCTTCTCAGTGCTTCTTTGTGTAAAATATTTCTACTTGGAGAATTGATTTTTTGAGGTCCTCAGTAATGGCTCATCTGTTTTGCTGAATTTCTATTTTGTGCCCAGTAAGGCAGGTGTGTAATCATCATCATCATTATTGACGGGTAGTAGAGTGCCCTCTTGATGCCTAGTACTGTACAGAATCCATGAAAAGAAAGAAAATTCAGAAGAGGATCCAAAAATAGATTCCTTCTCTACAGAGTTTGAGCTAAGGCAGTGGTTCTCTGAGTGCCAGGAAATCATGAGGCTCTTGATAAATTTATCATGTGAACTGTGATATAGCACAAAATTATTTGTTTTAAGGCTTTTGCTTAGAAATGTTTATACATGCAGTCATATCAGGATTATGTTTTTAACTGCATGTATCGGAGACTTGACCATTAGTGACTTAAATTATATATTTATTTCCTATAACAGTGAGTCTGGAGGGATGAAATCCAGGGTAGGTCTGTCTTTCTGCTCTCTTGCTCTACTGTCTGTATACTCTGTCATCTTTAGCTTGTGGCTGTCATTTTCATGCATATAAGATGGCTGCTACGTCCTTAGGCAGGAAAATGAATGGAAGAATGAAGAAGTGACAGTGCCTATGTTTGAACTGTGGCACAGAACACGGGAGGCTGGAAAATACAGGTTATTCAGCTAGTACCTTGCCTCCCTGAACAAAATTGGGATTCTTTTACTAGGTAAGAAAGGAAGAATGGATACAAGGTAGGCAATTAGCAGTGACTAACTACCACAATAACAAAACAATTTAAAATGTACATTCATGAGCTTGTGACATTCATGACCTTGTGTCCTCTTAAAACACAGTCAAACTGAGTGTGATTATCTGCTGGGATTTTTCTAGTAATATTCTTTACTTATCTGTTGAACATTAGCTTTTTTGATAGCTAACAAGGAAGTAATATACTGATGGTCTAAGAACTATAAATTTAAAAAAAACTTAAAATTGAGAAAATTCTTTCCGTTGACTTTTTTTTCCCCTTGCAATGAGGAAATAAAATAGTTACTTGATTTTAATGAAGGCACACCCTAGTGTAGGACACCAGTTTTCCTAAGGAACACAGTTTGGGAACCATTGATATTAATACTGTTTATGTGTACTACTAAATTATTTGTGTCTCCACTTTCACTTCTGTTGTTTATCTAGATGAAAACATTCTCTTTTCTTCTTCATATATTAATATTACTTACATATTGTGGGCAACTAACATTAGTTTTAAATGTCTTTTCCATATTTTCTACTATATTTTATAATCAGAAAAAAAAAAACTTATTTTTCAAGGTCATTGTAAGTCTCGCCTTCTCTGTCACTGCGCCCTACACTTCAGATCCATTTTTAAATCCTACTTCTTGAAACTCCTAGATCAAGTATAGCTGTACAACACAATTTATCCCTTAATTATAGACAATATTGAATTCTGCACTAATTGTTCCATATGCTAGCAAGATTATAACCTCCCTGTTAGGCATTTTTCTATGTCCCAAAGTCTTACCATAGTATTAGATACATAAACCCAAGTGAAACCCATTGCCGTTGATTCTGACTCATAGTGACCCTGTAAAACCTGTTTTACATCGAGTTGATTCTGACACATAGTGACTCCATAGAACCAAACCAAACCTGTTGCTGTCAAGTCGATTCCGACTCATAGCAACCGTATAGGACAGAGTAGAACTGCCCCATAGGGTTTCCAAGGATCAGCAGCCGAGTTCTTAACCACTGTGCAACCGGGGCTCCAGCCCTATAGTAGATGCTTAATAATTGCTTCCTGATCAACTAAATCATCACATTTAATACAGATACTCATTAAAATAGCGTAGATTTGATAGAAAGATAAGCATAAAATATGACTAATAACTAGTGAAATCGGAATTTCATGATTTTTACCCCCACCTATTAATGCAGAACCCCTAGCTTCCTCTTAATGCCCCCTTCTCCCATGTCGCTTCTCTAATATATCCTGACAACTGCCACGTGGCATCTGTCTTTTTCTTCCTTTGACGTGTGCTGCCCTTGCAGTTGCACATCGGTTCCTCCCGCCAGATTTCAGAGGTATAGCTTCTTGCCTGGCACTGCTCCCCACTTCTTAGCCTTGTACTATCCTGCCAGGTGTGCTTCTGCTGATATGCTGGGTTGTTGAGCTGCCAAACAGGCATGACCTCTTACTTCCTGTCTGTTATGTCTTGTCATGTGGGCATCAGAGAGCAGGGCTCTTTGCATCTCATTGCTTCAGAATTTTTAGTGAAAGCCATTCTTTCAGTTTTTTGTTGTAGTCCCTCTGTCTTTGTCATGATGAGCTCTTGGGGCTGGGCTGAGGGACAGTCCAAGTGATAGACACCACACTGTGCTTGGGATCACTCCTGTTAAGGCTTTGTTTATTGGTCCAAGCTTTTCTGCCCCACTTTAGTAAGAATGATTATTTTTCCCAAATGTTCCTTAGTCCCTCATGCAAACAGATACCCTAACAAGTTTAGGTCACCGGACATATGAATCTGAGTGGTAGGGATGGTTTAGGGTCTAGCTTGGACTCCCACTATACTTGAAAAAAACAAAAAAACAAAAACAGGTAGAGCATATTATAGCTCAAAATAATCTCAAGCCAAGGTAGCAAGTGGCAACTCAGAGCATGACCTTGACCCACAGAGAAAATAGAAACGTGTTTTTTTAAAAAAAAATCTGATCATATTATAAACCAGTTGCTGTTGAGTTGATTCCGACTCATGGTGACTCCATCTGTGTCAGAGTAGAATTGTGCTCCGTACGGTTTTCAGTGGCTGATTTTTTGAAAGTAGATTACCAGGGCTTTCTTCCAAGGCACTTCTGGGTAAACTTGAACCTCCAGCCTTTGGTTAGCAGCCAAGTGTGTTAACCATTTGCAACTCCCAGTGACTTCCATTGTATTACAGATTATAATAAAACCCAGTGTGAAACTTTAAGGCTACAAGAAAAGAAAGAAGAAAAATGCACTAAATTTTATTCCTCAAATTGTGCAATTCTTATTTCTCTGCCCCTAAACTTGTTTAAGTATATAGTTGAGCTAAGATATTATGTATTCTAACCCTTTTTTCCTGGGTGGTTCTTTATTAGTATTTAGTTATCTTCCTTGGGTCTGAAGATATATAGTTGACAATAATTATAACTAGACCTTGTGCAGATTCACAGCAGGAGGGTAGGTAGATAGAATAAAAACTCTACACTTAGAATAGAGCCTCAAGAGCTAAAGCAAATCATCAAAGCAGAAAGGGGAGAAGGAATTGAAAGATGGTCATCGGTGCTTATAATAGTTTGTGAAAAAATGAAAACAGCAAAACAGCTATATTAGTTTCCTCTTAAGTTTTTGCTCATGTCTTTTTTTTGGTGTGTGTATGCCTATACTTAGGAGGAATGCAATTTTGTGCACCTGAGATCTATTTAAGGAAAAGAAAAGAAGAGTTTTGGATGGTCAGTCTAGGAGTAGGAGACCCAAGACACCATCACAGAGCAATGAGAACAAATAGCACAGAGAGAGGCAATGAAATGTCACCCAGGACAGATAAAACCAGACATACAGCCTCCTTGACTCAGTCCACCAAGTCCTGCTTTGAAATCTAGAAATAGAAAACAACCAGGGATGGGAGATTGCCTGGAGAAGTGCTTCTTGATGTTTGCCAAGACCTCATGATGATCTTGGAATAGACTTTTAGAGATGCAGGAGACCTTGCATCATCTCAGAAGATGGGGAGTCTGAGATCTAAGGAGATGGATTGCGCTTTTCAGAGTCAGCTATTAAGTGACAGAGTCCGAAGTTAACTCGGGCCTCTCTGCTCCCAGATTCATGTGTTCACTACTGTATTTTTTTTTTTTTTTAAGTCATTTGTTGTTTGGATAAGTGCATTTGTTCTAGCTCCCAATCCCAATAGGGAAGATAGGAGAAGTGTATTGCAGTGGCTTTCACTCAGTCCTATGTGATTGGCAGCTTTTATTTAGCGCTAACCTTGAAGCAATTTTCTTGATTCCTTAGAAAGCTTAATTTGATGCTTCCAGAGCAAGACTGATATAGAGCAGGAGCAAAATGACCACAGAATACTAGTATGTTGATTGACTGTGCTTCCAGTGGCAAAGTTAAATCAGTCATTAAAAATCTTATATCTAGTAAGGTTTTGAATCTCCGTAATTCTGTCCACTTAAATGCTGTATATGTGTGTGTGTGTGTGTGTGTGTGTATGTGTATCGTGCAATTCAAGTTCACTTTAAAATTATTTTGTATTGAAAATAGTTTAGTTGTCTCAAGTGAATGTGATCACCCAAAATTTATTCTGGGTCTCGAAATGATTAAGATTTCTTTTTGTTATTCCTATTTCATCCTTCGTTCCTTAAGAAGTAACTTAATCACTAGAAAAATAATATAAAATATTAAGTAAAACAATAGTAAGAAAAGTATCTTAAGGTCTTGGCAGGCCAAAATAGAAAAATTCCATAGATTTATCTTTAGGAATTATGTTAAATCCTGAAATTTTGAGTTTTGGTTTGGTATGAGTTACTTTTAGGCATATTATGCAAAATTCTCTTTGAGGAGTACTGAACATTTCGTGTCCTGTAGAACTTGATTTTTGTATATTATGTCTTATTAAAATTGAGAATGGCATGCTGAATACATTTTAAGGATTTTCCTTTTATTTATATATGTACATTCAGATAAAAAAGCTAAATATACATATGAAACAATTTTTCCTCTTTTACAGAATTAAATGTGAGGGAGTCTGATGTAAGAGTTTGTGATGAATCATCATGTAAATATGGAGGTGTCTGTAAAGAAGATGGAGATGGTTTGAAATGTGCATGCCAATTTCAGGTGAGGAAACCAAACATATTTTTTAATATTTTAAATTTTTTATATTTTATAATTCTACATTCTTCAAACTTAAAACACTGGAACCACACAAGGAAGTTAGAGTCACAGTCCACCAATTCTCCTTTTTTGTCTGATGTAGTGCTATTATTAGTACTTTCATCCTTTGTTCTTGAACTTGAGAGGATACACTGGCAGTAATAGGTGTGAAGATGTTTTGAAAAGACATTAACAAACATAAGGTGTTATTGTCACTGAAAGGAAATAAGGTATTCTTTGCAGTAGAATCTGTTATTTGAAATGTTGGCATGTTTGTCTTTCCTTCTCCTGGTCTCTCTCTCCCTTCCACCTTTATTTGCTGTTGTCTTATCTCTTTAGGCCAAAGGATATGACTGACTTGAAACCTCAGGTTAGGTGAAGGCTAAGGATGGACTAGAAAAGGGAACCCCAGGCTAGGAGTGTTTCTGAATGTCTTACCTTTTCAAATGCTGTTTTAGTTGCAGTTCTGTTGCCTAAAAAATGTAGAATAAGGGAAGCAAAATATGTTGCATTCAGTTCTTCCTTTTTGTTTATTTTTTGTGATTAAATTATAATCTGACTTCAGGATGTTTCTCATAAGATGATTCTTAGTTCAGGGTTTGAAATGAGACAGAGAAGGGACCATAACTCTTTTCACTCTTGGATTTTGTTCTAAACTTATCTACCGTTTTGGAACGTAAGGAGAGGAAAGGGTACAGAAATCAGGAATAGAAGTATAAGAGAGTCAGTATTTCTGGTAAGCCTGTGACCTCAGGCAAATTTATATATGACCTCAGGTAATTTTTTCTGCATCAGTATTCCATCTGTAAGGAGAAAGCAGTGGAAAGAGAATCAAAATCAGAAAGATAGTTTGCATATGAAGACTCTTTGAAAATTATAAACCATCATGTTTTTATTTTCATTAAAAAAAGTAGAGAGTTTAGGTAAAGGAGAAAGGTTATGTGGGTGTACTGTTGTCCATCAAGTCAGGTTCTTCAAGGTCAAAAGAGATTTTACAATCAATTACTTAGAGTGATAGGAGAGTTTCTCTTGGGAAGTTTCATGATAGCCACCTTAGACATGGCTGAGCTAACCTTCCGTCTACACTTGTATGGTTACTCATGTAATAGGCTGGCCAGTCTGTTATGGCTGGCTGCCATGGCCCCTCCCCAAATCCTCTTAAAAGGAATAGCAACTAAAGTGGGCTTCTTTCCTTAAAAGATATCTGCATACATGCATGGTAGAGGTGGTTGTTCGAACAGAACAAGGAGATACTGTGTGGTTTAAAGTCAACAAAGGTCGGCATCAGGGTTGTATCCTTTCACCGTATTTATTCAGTCTGTATGCTGAGCAAATAATCTGAGAAGCTGGACTTTATGAAGAAGAACTAGGCGTCAGGATTGGAGGAAGACTCATTAACAACCTGCAACATGCAGATGACACAACCTTACTTGCAGAAAGTGAAGAGGACTTAAAGCACTTACTGATGAAAATCAAATCCTTCAGTATGGATTACATCTCAACATAAAGAAAACAAAAATCCTCACAACTGGACCAATAAACAACATGATAAATGGAGAAAATACTGAAGTTGTCAAGGATTGTATTTGATTTGGATCCATAGTCAATACCCAAGGAAGCAGTAGTCGAAATCGAATGACGTATTTCGTTGGGAAGATTGCGCCAAAGATCTCCTTAAAGTGTTAGAATGCAAAGATGTCACTTTGAGGACTAAGGTGCACCTAACCCAAGCTATGGTATTTTCAGTTGCCTTATATGCAGGCAAAAGCTGAACAATGAATAAGGAAGACCAAAGAAGAATTGATGCCTTTGAACTGTGGTGTTGGTGAAAAATATTGAACATACCATGGACTGGCAGAGGAACAAACAAATCTGTTCTGGAGAAGTACAGCCAGAATGCTCCTTAGAAGCGAGGATGGCAACACTCTGTCTCACGTACTTTGGCCATATTACCAGGAGGGACCAGTCCCTGGAGAAGGACATCATGCTTGGTAAAGTAGAGGGTCAACAAAAAAGAGGAAGACCTTCAATGAGATGGATTCACACAGTGGCTCCAATGGTGGTCTCAAGCATAGCAACGATTGTGAGGATGCCACAGAACTGGGCAGTGTTTCATTTCATTCTGTTTTACGTAGGGTCACTATGAGTCGAAACTGACTCCACGGCATCTCACAACAACAACACGTGATAGATACTAAGCCCTCATGAACTCTTCTTTCTTCAGTTCAGCCAGCACTATGAATAACTGCTTAGAAGGAAAATTATAAGGAACTTTTTTGGGGGGTGACACAATAGATTTAAGGTCCTCCTTTCTTTGGTCTGTTGTGACCTACTTGATTGCTTGTCTGGCTTTGTGCTCCTCTGTTTGACTTCTAGTCTCTATTTACTCCTTGGTCCAGTTTTATCCCCAGGACTTGTCTATCATTTTTAGCTGCCTTAGTCAGGGTTCTCTAGAGAAACAGAACAGTGAGATACATGTATGTATATAGAGAGAGATTTACTTCGAGAGATTGGCTCATGTGATTGTGGGGGCGAGCAAGCCCCAAATCCATAGGTCAGCAGCAAGTTAGAGACTTCTACAGGTCCATGCTCTGTGATCTGTAGGTAACGCAATGGGAAGAGTTTGGAGATGAGAGAGACAGCAAGTTCTTTCAAAATATCTATTTGCAATCTGGAGGCAGACCACACACTAAGGAAACTTCGCTTTCAACTGATTGATTGATTACATTACATTAGATTAGATTATGGAAGGTGATTATATTACAATACATTAGATTACGCTGTAAAGCAGCAACTAGTTTAATGTTTGGCCAAACCCCTGGGAGCCATAGCCTAGCCAATCTGACACATCAAATTAACCTTCACACTAGTTTAATTTACCTAAGCACTTTGTAGTCAAACTGTGAAAAACTGAAGATAAAGAGAAAAAAAAAATCTTAAATGTGTTCCTTGTGGAGACAGTAGAGCTAAGAAAAACTGTAATATTTGGTATCACTGTAATGCCACCAAGAAGCCCTGGTGTTGTGGTGGTTAAAAGTGCTTGGCTGCTAACCAAAAGGTCGAAAGGTCAGTGGTTGGACTCCACCAGCCTGCTCCATGGGAGAAAGATGTGTCAGTCTGCTTCTGTAAAGGTTTACGGCCTTGGAAACCCTATGGGGCAGTTCTTTTCTGTCCTATAGGGTTGCTATGAGTTAGAATCAACTCAACAGCGACGGGTTTGGTGTAGGTTTATAATGCCATGTGTATTAGTTATTGATTGCACCAAAATTTTGGCTTTAAACAATAAACATTTATTAACTCATAGTTTCTTTGAACTGGGAATTTGAGCGTGGCTTAACTGGGTGCCTCTGACTCAGGCTTTCATAAGGCTGCAGTCAAGGTGTTGACTGGGGCTGCTGTCCTCTCAAGGCTTGACTAGGTGGGGATCTTCTAAGCTTACTTACGTGGCTTCTGTCAGACTTCTGATCCTTGCTGCCTGTTGACATCAGTTTTTTGCCATGTGGGCCTTTCTATAGGGCTATGCTGTTCACATACAGCATGATAGCTGGCTTTACCCAGGATGAGATGAGAAGCCAGTGATCATTTGTTTTCTCCTTGTATGTAATGTCTCTGGCTGCTTTCAAGATTTTCTCTTTACCTTTGGGTTTTGGCAGTTTTACTGTGAAGTGCTTAGGTATGGCTTTCTTTTATCTTGCTTGAGGTTGGCTGACCTTCTGAAATCTGTAAGTTTATACCATCTGTTTAATTTGGGAAATACTTGGTCATTATTTAAAAAAAAATTTTTTCTGCCCGTTCTCTCTTTCCTCTATTCTGGGACTTCAGTGGCATATGTTAGACCTTTTGATGTTATCTCCCGGTCCCTGAGGCTCTGTTCACTTTTTTTTCCAATTTTTTTCTTTCTGTTCTTCACAGTGGATAATTTTTATTCATCTATCTCGGATTCACTAACTCTTCTGTCATCCCCATTCTGCCCATCCAATGAGTCTTTAATTTGAGATACTTTATTTGTATAATTTATAGTTTCTAGAAATTTCTGAGATTTCCTATCTTTTCATTTCACCACAAACATATTTTCCTTGACCATAGATATTATTGCTGCATTAAAATCTTTGCTTTTTTCAACATCTGGGACATTTTGGAGATTGTTTCTGTTGATTGTCTTTTTGAAAATGGATCATGTTTTACTGTTTCTTCATATTATAGTAATTTTGAATTTATTCTACACATTGTGAATGATATATTTTAGACTGTCTGAATTCTGTTATATTTCTTTGAAGAGTATTTTTATTTTTGAAGCAGTTAAATTGGCTGAACTCAAACTGCACGCTCTTGTTTTCCCAGTGGTGGTGGCCACACATTTATCAGTCCATTTCTTTTAGCCTTAGATGGGCTGGCTATGTGAAGTTGGCCCACACATGTATGATTCAGGGGTCAGCCAGAAGAATTTGGTCTGAATTTGTACAAAGAACCTGGGATTCTTTTCTGACTCTCCCCTGTTTAGGATTTTCTCTCTTACTTTCCAGTGGCTATGGTTGTCCTGAACTCTATCCTCTGGTTTTTCAAGCCAGAAAGAGTGTGGGTTTTGATTGAGTTTTAGCCACTCTGCATGGGGAAGACTGGGACTGTTCTCCTCTTCCAAATGTCTTATTATTTCCCTACATTAAGTCCCTTGATGTGGAATTGTTGAGCCAATGGGGTGCTTATGTATAGGTTAACATTCTCACCAACAAGAGCGTATCAGACAGCCTGTTTCTCTTCAGCTGCTTGGTAGTGGATTTTGTTAATCCTTTTAAATTTTGTAACTGTGATAGGTGCAAAAAAAAAAGTTTTTAATTTGTATTTGATTCCTAGAGAAATTAAAAAAAATGCCATATATTTGACCATTTTTACTTCTTTTGTGAATTAATGTTTCGTATTTTCCCGTATTCTAGAATATTTTTTTTCTGATGTGTTGATTTGTAAAG